CAAGTTTTCCTTCGGACATATATTGAGAACTTGAGGGCCTCGTTTGAGGTTTGTTGTTTGCGGAAAATCTTGCGTAGACAGTTTAATTTCTTTTATTACGGTATGTGATCCACTATTGGAACTGCAATAAGCGGCGAAAATGTGTAACCTGGGCTGACATATCGTTAGCCTTTGGAGCTCAGATCTTTCATCGACCATTGGGCCTGAGTACTCTATACTACCTGTCTCAAGCTGTTTGTTGATGTTTAGACGACGAAATCGGATTCTGGATAATGAAATCTGTTCGCAAAAATAAATTTTAAAGTTGTGCCCAGTCTCCTTCGTGATAACATCTCTTTGATTCTTTGGTAGACCGTAGTAACCATAATGTGCGTGCTCCGCTGATCTCAATTTTCTAATCAGTAATCAAAGTCTGACTGGTAAGATGCTGCTAGGTGAGGAATGTACACTCATATCTGCTTTAACGTGACAAAAATGCATCGTAGTGGAGTTCTACACGAGTGTGGCCACTGTTGCCACCAGCTTCTGGTTGGATTTTCTCTTAGAAAATTTCCGTATGGCTAATGCCAGTTTCGTTAGGGCTCGTTTGATTAACCTCATTCGCCTTTTTTCCTGTCCCCTCTTTACTTTTTGTCAGTGCTACAGGAACCCAACAGGTCCTCAACGTAACACACTCTCACAAGGTTGTTGAAAACTCTCCGACAGCTCATGAACGGGGTTGCCATTCCTGAGGTCTATCAAGTAAGCACACTTTCCAATATTTCCTCAACTTTATGTCCAAATTGGAGAGTTTTCGACAAATATTCTCGTTAGCACACAACTCTGATTTTGACAAGAGACTCAGAGGAATACGGCTGGATATCCCGTTTATGATGATCCATCACTTGCCAAAACCAAATTTGGGCGCAAATGAGTGTTTGCAGAATGGGTTTTTCTTCCATCCCAGTTAGAAAAATTCTGCGAGTGCCATTATTGAGGCCAAAAGGCGAATGAGCAACGAGCTGCTTGATGAGTGTGTTTCACTGAGATAAGGTGTATAGCGTGAACATTTGCAACAAGATGTAATATGAAGGTCACTTAGACTTTTGACTCTGCGCCGACCCGGGAAAATGGAGCCCAGCCTTCCAGTGCCTAATATACGTGGACCAATCGCAACATGGACGGTTATCGATGCGGCGAGGCATAGACGCAATTGCGCCAAGTCGTAGCGTTCGGTGTGTGCGTGTGTGTGTGTGTGTGTGTGTGTGACTGCGCATTCACAACTCATGAGGCTCTAATGTATTCGCATTACAAAACATTTTTCCCATTGTGGAAACCAAAACGTGATCAGTAATCATATCACACTCAAACTCCACCACTTATGATAGAGCACACACACTGAGCGCTACGGCCATCGGTGAATTCGCAAATGTTTTGTCGGTTCGCTTACTGTCCAGGACTTTCTAATCAGGTAGTGCTGTGGACACTTTGAACTTACTGATCCATTTTCGACTAGCTTTAGGTGAGTACGGGAATTGTACGCTTGATTATTCTCCTCTTGTGCTGGGGAAATAATTCCGATGAGCCCGTACAAAGTGAGAAATCAGTGGACTCGGTTTTCGGTCTTGATGTGGACTCACCAAGACTGGAGAGGCGTTGCTCAGAAGAGTGATGTGAGTTTGGATTTTACAGATCTCTCAATCATTTTCAACTTTTCAATTTACTCCGAACAATAATAACATTATGTACTACATAGGAATCATTTTACAGAAGCAGACAGGTGATTTAACGGACAGGGGAATGGCCAAACCCAGCAAAGTTACAGATGCCTTGGAAACCATATCTAGCACAAATGCCTGCGATAAACAACCGCAGGTTTTGCGCCACGTCCGGACCAACTTGACGGAACACACTAATTGTTAGACAGATAAGGACTATTCACCAGTCCAGTATAGGTTTTTCCGTTACCAAGGCTCTCCAGATGAGCCCGGTTCCGAGTTCTCACCAGGGTTTTTGCACCCACAATGATTGATGCATTTCTAAACCTAGGCAATAAATCACAAAAATCCGTACATCGATGAAACTAGTTACAGGAAAGACATACAATAAGAGGTCAATAAATCTTTAGGCAACAGGTGATTGGTCACACTGACGCTACATATCTTTCCTCGTTAAGCATTTTTTTAAATGGCTCAGCTGCCCATTGTATGATGAGTTTCTTTAAAGGTACCATGAAGCTTAGATATGCGTAAGGATATGTCGGCAAGGGATGTCTCAGTAATTTACCCAGTATCTTCTTCACTTAAAGCACAGGTGGGGGTGATCCGTTGTCCACCAGTCTGAAATGGCGTGTTCAAATGAATGACCAAACTTTAAGCTTGGTTCGAGTCCTATGGGTAGCTATTTTTCTCGACTGCTCAAAACATTTCGCACACGAACCCGCGTGGCCTTTGCGTGGTTTGGTTTCCCCTAGAGTTACACATTGCGAGTAACATTTCTTTTGGTGGTACACATGTACGTCTCCCTAGGAACTTTGCACCTACTGACCTACGCACCGAGTTACCAACAGTTGCTCGATAGGGTGGAAAACAGGTACACATATTTTGTTTGACGTTTCACCTTGCTCCTACTTGATAGGTTCCCGTTTAAGGGTATTAAGTAGTACTATTAAAGGTAGTATTGTATAAAGGTAGTACTGTATAAAGGATGATGGAGTTTTTTACGTAAATTTCATTTCCCTTGAGAAGCAAACAAGCTGAGCGAACTCATGATTTGAAGACTGTGCTTAATTATATCCCCTTAAGCTCTCGAATCGCAAACTGCGCAGTCCGTCCAGGATGAGTATCGTTTCTGATGTCACAGACCGTTTTATTAGCAAAAACGTCCGAACTATTGGAAAATGCAGAAATAGCACTCAGGAGCTGATGCGCTCAACCACTGAAGTCAAAAGCACCTCCAAGCTACGCAAAACAAATCAAATGAGATTTCATGGAGTGTGTGACTGATATTGCACACTGTCCACAGCTACGAACAAGAAAAGGTTCAATTAAACGGAGGGCCGGTGTGCATAGCTTTGAGTAATCACTTTTATTATGCTAGTTGACATTAACCCTATATTTTCATAGGCCAAGCAGTTTGGAACTTTCCGGTAACCTCCTGCAACGGAGTTATGCAGTATTCACTTGAGCACACATAAGTGGAGGATGGACATATTCGGATCTCACAATTGTCTGAAAAGTATGCAACTGCCGACCATTAGTCTCCTGTATTAATGTATTTTTCCTGGTTGTTGATCAGATAGCTGTAGATCTGTTCGTCAGACTGGGCAATTGACTTGCAAACGTTTCGTCATCATACGAGGAGATATCATCAGTTCGCAGTTGGGTGGGTACCCCCTGTTTACCTGGGTGCGATTATATAGCATTTAAAGTCCATCTGTCATCTCTTACCGTGATTGACTAGTTGGTTCACAGAGCTTTTGTTATGCATTTTCCATATGTTGTTGAAGTAGAGATAGCAGTAACGCACTGGGGTGTAAGAAGATAAGGCTAATTTATAAATCATGCTGAAACCGTTGCACGGATTCATAGTAGCCCTGGTCTGACGGCAACTAAACGTACGAACTTGGGCTAGTTTGGAGATACGAAAATGGCCAAAAATAGTTTGCAGTACGTGTGATTAAAACGTCGCCTGCAACGCGCTTCGTCGAATCTCCCCCTGGAGAAGCTAACAGCTAATGCTCCCTTTTCAAATTGTTTACAGTGTTTTTCCGTTAAGGAGATAGAGATGCAAGACAAAAAACCTAACTGAGAAGGCTTGGGATCTGACACATAGGAAGCCGAGGCGTCGGCTGCCACAATAGTGGTAAGTTTAGAGTCGTAATGGGCTAAAGGTAGGTTCCACCTGACAGGTTTAATGCATGCATCACTACTCCCAAGGTATGGTCTATTCGGACCAGGATAGAGACGGGTCAGTGTCTCAGGAAAACTCCACAGGTTGAAGGTAAGTCTATGTGCCTGACAGTATATTTTGACAACGAAATGTGAAAAATCAAAAGAAGTTCCGCTCCCAAAGGAGCTCGTTGGAGAAAACAAACTTAAAATAAATCTGATTTAAAGTCAACGAAATAAATGGTTGGTAAAGTGAATACTGAAGGACAACATTATATCCGAACGAATGAACAGCGGTGTCACGAATTATTTAGCAATTCAACTTAAATGAAACCTCTCCTTCAAGACGGATAAAACGTCCAGCATAAGTGAACATATCCTCACGTAGTGGTCTGGAAGGTTATATATAATTATATATATCAGATATCCGGATGATAAGCAAAACCATCTCACATTTCCTATATCCAAACTAGCATAGAATGAAAAACAACATGACGTGATGATTTTTTATTTTATGATCTTATTTGCCATACATGAACCAGCCCGTGTTACGTTCTATGAGATGTTCACGAAATCAAAGTGATTTTCCCGACATCACGCATTGGTTTAGGTTGTTAAAAACATTCGGACAGCGGATGACCCATTTCCTGCTTTTTTTGGGACATATCTTGCATCCGGATTTCCATGACTCCTGTTCTGGAACAACAAAAGCGGAAACAGATGGAAAATAGCGCGGGTGAAATTTCATATTGTCTCGACCAAGGGTGGCAAATCACTCGAATAAGGATTGATCAGTCAACCATTTTAAGGCCAAGTCTAACTAAGAGATCCTACCAACCCATATCGCCTTTAAGCAGGCACTGAAGGAAATCATACCATTCAATTATCTCAGCACCTTCTTAGATGAAGGTCACAGTATAAAAAACACTGCAACGTTGCTCTGAACTGAATACAACGTGCACAGGATTAATTGAAATCAGATTTATGTATTTTTTGTAGGGGCTCTAGCCATTCTCACCCGAAATAAAGCTAAGTAATTTGGAAGTCATAAAGACATTTAAAAAAAATTAATTTATGCTGCTTTGACGTGTTTATTTTCGGAGGCTATCTCACAGTCCTTTTTGAGTGAAGTTTCCCTGGTGGACCTCTGTGCTTGTTTTGAAGGTTTTCGAGAAATACACTCATTTGCAAATTAATTTGGTTTTCACGAGAGACTCAGCTGAATCTCTCGTTTATGATATTCTACAACTGAATGTGTTGCACACAGGCCGCCTCATGTTTCAGTTGTCACGACATTCGAGATATCGCAAGGTTTCTGAAAACTCTTCGACAGCCCACGATGAGCTTTTATTGCAGGCTAGTCAATCGACCAACACAAATGGGGCAGGTACTGAGCCGTCCTTTTACTGGTTTGGCCAAACAATCACCGTTCAAGCGTGAACACACTCGCCTGTTCAGAAGTGAAAATTCAGGTGTGTCCGGCATGCGCTGGCGCACTCGCATGTCAGATGTGTGTAGTCCGAACCCCGGAACGAGCAAGCATGTGCACTACTGGTGAGTTCTTGTGACAGCGAAGCTCGAGTTCAGTGATTCCCCGCGCTGATGAGTGCTCACAAGAATATTTGCGCCAGCTGATTACTTCACTACTTTACATTTCTACCACCTTCCACCCAATGTAGGGACAGAGTAATTTCAAGCATTTCATATGTTAATATAATAAATAAATTGTTGTACATTACGTAATACTAATATACTATATTAGTGACATATATAGCGCGGTATTTTAGTTACGCAAAGATGTGAGAAGACTGTCATTTCCCGTGAGGTAAAACCCTTGAAGCGCGATGATCACTCGACTGTAACCATTATTAGTTTACCAGTTTCCCATGTTATAAAAACCGGTGGTGAGCTTTTTTCCACTTCAGTAGCTTTGATTCGGGAAAGCTGAGGGTCCAGGCAAGAAACGGAGCTTCAGCCGCAGGTGATTCTTCCGTGAAAACCAAATTTGTGTGCAGAAGACAGAGTTCCAGTTATTTCATTCAGAATATTTAGAAGACCATGAACTGATGTTGGATGTAAAATTCAAAGGTAAAAGCAAACATTCGTTCGTGTGGACCACAGTTCAGCTCATCGGTGTAATGAAGGACAAGACTAGCTAAAGCGGCAGACAGGTTCGATGCTTAGCCAAACGCTTCCAGTTGACAAAGGTACATATGCTTCGAGAGAAATCAGAAGCTTGTTAGCAACATATCACCACTTTCAAGCGCAACCGATGCTAGCTATTTGATTACTCTCGTCTAGTTTTGAACAGTCTGACAATATCTCGGCCCTCACATCTTCAGGTTGCACAAAGCCGTGTCACGAAATTATGTTAAACCTGAACCAGAGTTGTCATCCGTCACTACATGAGAATTGTAACGAATACATGAAAGTTCTGCTAATGTCCATAATGAGATGACTACCTTACGATGTATTGTTTTTAAAATTCCCATTGTGACGTCTGGTCTTTAGGTCACTGCTATAACGTGCTAGTTTCGGATGCAAGCAATATGCGGAATTCTAAAAGTAGATTGGTGGATGTGAACTAAGCACAATAAACAAGATTGAAGACCATCAAATGTAAACTAGAATCTGCTACTGCGCAGAAGCTACGTGCATGATTAGAGTTCAATAAAGTTGTGTCAAAATGTATGCCACCGACCCTTCTTGTTGTGCATTTAAGGATGTTCAAGCAAACAGGTTTCATGAAAATAACTCTGTGAATTGCGACATGAAGAACGCTGAGACTAGGATGAGGGGCAGCGCTTCGGCACTGTCGGGTTTGAGAAAAATTTCATCCTCCCAGTTTACACCGACTAGTTATTCGACTCAGGCTGGATGAGATGCAGGAACATCTTCTTCCAGTTGATTGGAAACAAAAATACCTACTTTAAATGGGAACTAATAAGCAAGTACGAACAACTGACACGGCCTAATTGGGTGTTATAAGCAACGTAGTCAATATCCGCAAGTGATAACTCCTCTCCAAAAGAAACATACCAGCTCAGCTCCAACTAAAATAATTGCAGGTTTATGGGTACGACTAGTGACTTCAAGAATGGAGATGTGTCCGAAACTAACCTCTTGGATGAGGTTCAAATGTTTGCTTTCCGAATGTGTACTTATAGCACACTTGTGTGACAGTACAAAAGAAAGTGGCATCAAAAATTGAAACACGGCTGTATACTCAACAGGTTCACCTGCATTATTTTGGTGCGGATAAAAATTACTTAGAGGTGTTTACTAAGGGGTTATCACATAAAAAAGTGAGAAAATACTGCACGAACCGATTATTCAAACGAGAACTCGTGCACCATGAAATCGAAAGCAACTCGTCGGGTTTTTAGAGAACCACTGATTGTTTAGTAGATTGTTTGCTCCCGGTCCCAGCATTAGCGGCGTGCTATCATGCGACATGACGTTTAAATCTACAATGTTGCAGTATTGTCTACTGAATACATTCATCACCAGTCACTGTCATTGCTTTGTTATGGGGCGGATTATTGCCTAGCTCATTAAATAATCAAGAAACCATCTACCTGATATGCCAACATTCCCCATTAGCACAATGTTCCTCTGTGGATATTCACAATTTGAACAAAAAACATAACAACCGTACCGTGTACCACAAAGAAATTTTTATGTTTTCATTCAAACATATCTGATCACCCGTTTGGATTTTTCTAACACAATTAGTCGGTAGAACGAGAAGAATGCTTTTTCGAGCCTTTTGGCAGTTATCAACACGAAACGCTACGTCATATCTGCTATCGGTTAGACACGCACATCTCCTCAGTACAAACTTTCTAATCATTTTTACAGAATAGTGAAATATTGCAGAAGCAACACAAGTGTAGGTCCAGAGAAACAGGAACAACTCGAAAGAAAGTGTAGAACTGACAAAGCTTTCACCTTCAGATGAGTTAATGATTAACTGAATGGCTACGCATCGCACCGAGGAATAGCCAAATTTAAAAACCCACTAGGACGAGTAAAAAATAGAAAGGGTTTTCAGAAAGCTTGCCACCCGTACCTTCACACTGCTCGCTTGATTATTTGAAAAGCGCACATTCTCAAACTGTTTGATGTCCTATTGGCACGATAATGAAGACAGTTCACGCAGATGATATAGCTTTTCGCATTGCAGCTAGTCAAAGCTCTCCTGAACCGATATCTAGATCCCAAAGAACACTTGAATTTACTGGTTTAATAAATACCCAGCGTGTTTAAATCTTCACAGAAGTTTATCTGATACTTGCTAATATTTCTGACTATCTGCTTTCATCCAATTTATTTGGTAAGTAAATGTATTTTCAAAATCTACCTTCCCATCGTGAACGGTAATAGTTTTTCACACATTTAATTAACCTGCCTCCAATAAATCTTCCTTCAAGCAACAGTTGTATTCGTGTAAGGACACAAGTTTGTGAAATAAATTACGTGATTCAGACTGAAATTGGTAAGCTACTTTGCTCACGAAGACATTTCGGTTTTGAAAAATATATCGTTTGATGTCCATGATAATTTGTAAATTAATTTATCATTGCAAATAGACCGATCGAAAGCGGTTGCCATAGAAACGGAAGCCGGCTCTTCTTTATGATTTTAGATGTTTAAGTGCGGTATTGACACCGGGCCTTCCGATTTAACGTGGAGTAGATTATGTGATGACCTGTAGATTGTTCTGACCAGACCGTCATCCCTATGTGAATGAAAACGCGGTAGCCGTAAAGGTCTTCGGCGTATAATCTACCGCTTACATCCATCGTTCGCGTTTCCATCCAAATATTAGACCTGTTAACAATTGGGAAAATTTAATAAACCACCGTTTTTGTGCTCAGTGATTCCAATAAGAATCATTTTACGTTTATCTGAAGAGCCGCACATGAGGGCCTCCCGAAAGGCTGGTTATCTTGCTGAGTGATGTATGCGGTTAGAATGGCGTCAAGTGAAAAATTAAAAAGTACGGAAGTCCACCAAATCTGAGTAGTAAAAATGATGATAATCCATGTACTCATGACAATGTGAAGGTAGTTCTATGAAGGAAATATAAACGTCAACTGGAACATAACCATTCTGCTTGAATTGGTCCCCATTGTTTTGGTCGCTTAACAACTGCGCAAACAGCCAATGGTCCTATCAATCATCGATCACAACAACCATTCATCATGAAAAATCCAATATTGAGTCATTTTTTTTTTAAAAAAAATCGCGAATTCAACAGAAAATCCGTTGTGCCCAACTACCCCTAAACTATACGCAGTTTTTTAAACGAGAAGATGCTTTTTTAACATCACATCTATCCAAACGTCATATTAGAGATTAGGTGTAGTATATTGACGCATGAGCTTGTGCAAAAGACACATGCCGTTCATAACGAAATTTCCATCCCCTCATCTAGTTGTATCATTTGTTTCTGTCGTAATTCAAATGAATTCATTTGGTGCCAGCCAATAGTAAATGGAGTAGAAAACGAGTTTGTTCAAGAATATCAAAACAGAAGGTTCAGCTTGAATTCACTTGGGTCTCCGGTGGAAACCAGCTTAGTTGTTAAGTTCGCTTCATTGGTTGTGGAAAATTTGATGTTCACGCAGGACACATGATCGATGGAAACTCGGAAATCGTGCATATATGATGAGCTTTAAGGTAGACAAAACCGGACCTGAGTTGTCTAGGAATTTTTCAGAAACCTCATGAGTTGTGTGTTCCGTTGAATGAAGTCCAATTTAATCACTACAGTCCTTTGGGGGTACCATTTTACCTGATTTAACCATACAGCGGAGGCTGACAGATAACCAACAAAATAACCACACCAAATCAATTACTCTGTCCACAGACCCTAGCATTCATAGTATACGTTGCTGAAAGATGTGATTGCTGCAGGTGTAACGGTGTACCGCTGTTAAAGCATGTGAGTAATATTTGCTTTTCCCATAGACCGTTTCGCGTCTACTGAAATGTTAGCTTTATTACGGAATTTGTGGAATCGATTTATGCCGTGTGTTTACGTTTGAGTTATAGTCAGTGACTATTCAGGAAAGTTCGGGAAAAAGACATACACAGTTTTTATAAACGCGATCCATATGAGAGATTTGCTTATCTGTCCAATAGTCTGTAACTGTTCAGTTTGTATTCCCTAATAAAGAAGTCTGCAGCAAAGGCCTATTTCCCTTCACAAGTAGCTACAAGGCATGATTTCGCCTTATTTGGCGCTTAATGAGGTAAAATTTATGTCCTGGTGATTTTTTACGCCCACTCTTTTATCACAGGCTCATCCCCTCATATTATCAGCGAATTCTAATTGCTCAGCGAAGTGTGGCTGATGTGTCCTAATTTATACTCCCCGTTAAATTAGCAAGCCACTGAAATACGAATCCTACCCTCTGAGACCACCTTTACTGAGTTGCTACCACACTCCATGAAGGGACATAATAAGTAAGCCCTAACCAATTCATATTTTTCACGTCACTGACGGTAATAACTGCATGATCAAGAAAGCGCCGCTTCTTTTGCTAGACCAATTTTTCGGTTGAAGTTTCTTCTGTAAACATTTCTGCTAGAATGGATATCATCCCTTTTGAAGAGTTTTTAAGCTACTTACCAGCGCATCCAAATTCGGTGTGTGCAATTATTGTCGCATCGATGTTTAATCGAACGAGGCTGCTGTACAGAGATATCGAAAAAAAGCAGATCAGATCAAAGGAAATCACTCACAAAATTGCTGAAAAATCTTCGACAGCCCACTGATTTCAGCTCAGATCAAGATTACAAACAGACATTGAGTATAATCAGTGAGCTCAAGGAGGCAGCAATTCGGAAGGTCGTTGGATTGGGTGTTAAGGTTCAATAAGAAAGGGATCAGCATAGCAGTTCTTTCATGCAAAACAGGAACTGTTGTAACTGGGTGATTTGGGAGATGGATGTAACTTATTCTGTCGCGTTTGACAGTACTTGAGCGGGAAATCTCAAGGAAAAAGACCAAGGAGAGCGGAGAAAGACGGCTATATTACGGGCGAACCAATGGGTACGGATCATTTGGCTACAACTGAGCAAAGATGAAATCTTAGTGAAATTGTTAGTTATGGCCAAACCGTCCTAACTGGAACACCTGAGATTATTGGAAGTGTCAGTCCAGAAAAGAAAATCATCACGTTCAGTTTTGGTGTATTTGAAAGACTTCCAGTTAAAACGACTGTGTGGACAGTTAAATGTAACGGACAGACACCTATGGAACTGTGCACCAAAATTTGCGTGCACATAAAAGGGATAAATAAAACGCCAAAGACTGCGAACTAAAAAAATCGCTGGTCAAGTGTTCGGCAATTTGTGGACGTGTATTAGAGACGGGACATAGAATATATCTGGAATATATAGGAGGGTTAAGACGGAGGTTCACATCACATCGGCTGATGGCCGAGTAAGTGGAAAACTCCGAGCATCACAGTGTGAATGGAGTCGACGGCGTAGAGCTGGAGAGCCTAGAAGAGTGTGTTTAGATAAGTCGATTCACAAGTGACGATGTTTGGTTTTCAAAACACGGATTTATTCAGAAAACAAGGTAGAAAGCCAAACCCGACCAAAGGTTACGGTATCTCCCTCGCAAACTTGCTCACCCACACAGATGGACGAGCGACACTCGAGAGGGATTTTGGTGTTAATCGAACCGAAAGAAGTAGACTCTTATCTGAACGCCAGTCTATGCAAGTTTTCAATCGGTCTTGAAACTTGTTGATCCACCACAACAAACAGAATCTCTAAAGCGGAACCTAAAATCGATTTAGTTTTTATTGGCTGATTGGATCCCACTCGGTCTTGAAATTAGGCTAGATTCGCAGCCTGACGGAGATTTTGTGTCAAGAGCAAAACGTTGCTCTCACGTATACAGACGTAAGTATATCTGTTAACAGTATGAGGAGATTTGTGAACTTTCAGATGGAAATTTATTCCTGTGAGTGAGGGTAATTTGTGATGGAAAGCTGAGAAGCTCTGCACAGTTGCTTCATCCTTACTGGAAATCATCAGTAAAGGGCATTTCACAAACTCTGGGAGTTTGGAACCCGTGATTTGCCGGCCAATTCTTGAAAAATAAACAGGTTGACCACAAGTAGTAAATTACCCCGTACTCACCGTTTATTTTTCAAACACTGATACGGTTTTTGAAGAAAAACGTCGACACCAATCCTGTTGCTCCCGTGTATGTACCAAGACAAACATTGCTACAACATTTCACTAACTGGTTTAAAGTAGGAACGTCTGAACCTGGTTTATCCATTACAGTCATGGTAAGTTAAGCGGCATCGGACCAAAGTTACTCTGTCAGAAACGTTATGGACTGCTGTGAGCGTACATGTCGTGAATTCTTCAGTAGGCAAACTGACCGTGAAATATCTGAAGGCTACATCACAATCGGCAGGCTTGACTAGTCCCAATCACATGGTCTAGTTCCGTGAAAAATGCTACCATTGGAGCTCTTTGACTGCCTGGTGTCTGGTATCATAGCTGATATTTTCGCCCTTTCTCATCTAGACATTTTTTCGACTTATTATCGGAAAAACCAACTTTCTCTCCCTGTGTGTTGATTGACACTTTCTATTTGATCGTTTGAGCGTTCTTAAAAGGTCTAGACTGTGGACTTCAAGGGTGGACTTACTATGTACAAGAAAGAGATTTTCCTAAGAAACTAATTACGTCACAAATAAGGTAAATTAAGGAAGATGCAAAACAGAAACCAGCAATCGGCATCCGTTATTGTTTGCTGTGTAATAATAGTAACAAGATTCTAACGAGGTAGCAAAGCACAGGTTTCTGGGAAAACACTGGTTTCCGTGAAACATCTGAATTGGTTGGACGCATTGGGTTTCTCGAGAAAGACACCTCCAGATAAGAGTGGTCGCCGAGGAAACTTGTTGTGGAAGTTGCCTGATGGAGGACGTTTCTTTATTGATAGTGTATAATTTCAATTCTACCCATACGAGAAAAGTATGTTGTGAATGGCGTGGATAATAAATGGCACACAATAGGCAGAAGAACTTGGGGATACTCGGAGTGTGACTCACTTATCCCGTTGACTTATGGCACAGAAAATGTTGGGGGATGGCACATTTGTCCGCCTATGATGAGTGATTGTCGCCAACAGGCAGGCTACTGGAAACCGGCCTTTGCGAATGACTTAGTATTCGACACAAGGTAAGTGCGAATGGGTACAGGCTCCCTACGGACTAGTTCGATATGATCAACTCAATCAGCAGGGAAACTCTGTTAATTGCTATGACTATATTAAAGCTTCCCAGGTTGGGTTCAAAGCGCGAGTGCAACTCTGTCAAACCAACTGGATTAGACTGTAAGTCACTAGAAGTATTAAGCGATGAGACTACCCATCGCTATGTTCCACTACGCTCCCTATCAGTGTACTGGCGATGTCAACTTGACAGGTAATGAAACGTTTTCAATCAAAGTGACCAGCGAAACAACGGCCATGTTTCGGAAAGTGTCTTTGTTTTTGCTGCCGTGATATTCATCAATGTTCATCGCCATCAAAGAGATGGTGATGTAACTGTTCCAGTTCCGCTTTGCCTTGTGTTCGGCGTTAGTAAGCGGCGCCCAAGCTTCCTGTTCAGTTTGCACTGAGTTTACTGAGAAAAAATGGAACAATGTTATAGGTTGTCTTTTCACAAAGTCTTTAAAACCCTCCTGAAATTTCTTATTTTGCCGATTTATGGTCTGGTCAGTCTGGCCTGATACTTTGAACCCCTGGATTGCTTAGGCTTTGATTTATGCAAGTACAAGGGTTGTGACGTCTGCTTGCATGTTTTTGAAATAGTTAAAATTCCTAGAGTAATCTGATAGTTGTAGCACAGGAGTCGAACCAGGGGAGTGGCTGCCCATCCTGATTGTGATGGATGATTTACACGTTGGGAAATAGGTCACTGTACCAAGTGAGACAAATTGTCGTTCACTATTGCAAAAACTCTATTAACTTGACGTAGTACGACAGGAGACGGCTTGGCCTAGAGCCATCAACCGCAAACATCAGTTATTGATTTTAGCTGTTATCAGTAAAGCTGGTCTCCACGTCATTCTCTGGCTTTGTGTCCTATTTTCTGTCCATAAAACCATAGAATAATGAGGTCGAATGAAATACTGGGCTTATGTGGAGACAGATTTTACGGAATCTTCTTGCTTGATAGTGGGATGAAGGGATTTTGATTAATCCTAGTGGACAGTTATAATGGAAATTGGACATCTGGTCCCACCGAGTTTTAAATTGTCGAGTGCGAAGTAATGAAAGCGCCTATGCATGCATGCAGAAATTGCACAGCAGGTAAGCACTAGGAATTTGTGTTTCAAACATTTCTATTAATCACCTCCAAAGTGATCCATGTAGGTGAGTTGCATAAAAGTAAAAAAACCTATGTGCCAACGCAGCTGCCCCCTGGCATCTCACACATCATCGGCATCCCTGGAATCTTGTTAAACGACAGAAATGTTTGCAACGTTTAGTGTCATCTGTGTATAAACTGCACCAAGAGTGAATATCTTTGTAATGTACTACTCATAAGGTTGCTGAAGCCCATGGCCGGTTTCGCCCTTTTTGGGGCTCATCAGGTAGGCGGATTTCCGCCAACCTTATGTTCTACTTGAAACCAAATTGCACGGAATTAGCGAATATACACTCATTTGCAAACTAATCTGGTTCATTCGAGAGACTCACCTGGAACCCAGCTGAGTCTCTCGTTTGTGGTGTTCTCAGGCAACAGAATGTGCTGCGCCAGGCCGCCTCATGTTTCAGTCGCTACGATATTTGAAATATCGCGATACATGTACATCTTTGTGATGTACTACTTATAAGGCTGCTGAAAATCCATCGACAGCCCACGACCGGTTTCGTACGTTTGTGTGGCAGTGAACTATCGATGTTCTACTCATGTACTTGTGGCAATGTTAACGATGTAAGACTTCATCCCAAAAGGAGCCATGTACAACTCATGTTTTCATGCGCAAGTCGACAGGCGCCGGTTGTTCAAATCTTTTAACTAAAGGGCTTGTTTGTTGCATCGTTTGAAACATCACAAACAAGAGATTCAGCTGGGTTCCAGGTGAGTCTCTTGAAAAACCAAATTAGTTTGCAAATGAGTGTATATGCACCAAGAGTGGTTCATTCAACATATGACATTGTTCAGAAAATCTTTCAGTTAAAAACCATAAAGTTATGGCTGTGACGAGCGATACACATTCAAGACGGAACAAGGATACCCTAGAGTTAGCAAACGAGTCTTTTATTACAAACCACACCTGAGACACTACAAGAAGTGTCTGTGCGCATTTCATATAAATTGAACTTTTCTAGCTAGGGACCAAACAGCACTTCCTTTTTATTCCCAGTGAAATGACCAAACAAATTATGTATCACCGAGACACTCAAGTTGCAAATAAAAACAAACCGAATTCAATCCAAACATAATCAAACTTTAGATCTAACGTCCTAAGCATTTCTCTGATGATCTGTGATGTAATATTTTCTCATCATTACAAAGTCTGGAGTCTTCTCATTGCAAATTAAATGGTGAATGCAATATCAGTAAGTGGATAAAACTGCAGTTTGACTTGTTTAGTATATTCCTTTTGTCCCAACCAAGGTACAACCGTTCATTTAACAGCTACTCCGAAATCTGATGATTCCTGGGACAGACGCTGAAGTGCTGCGTTGCGCTATTCGTCGAAATAAAAGTCACTGTGATGAGGTGAGTTGAATAATGGTTTAACGCAAATTTTATGTCGTTCACTATTGCAAAAACTCTATTAACTTGACGTAGTACGACAGGAGACGGCTTGGCCTAGAGCCATCAACCGCAAACATCAGTTATTGATTTTAGCTGTTATCAGTAAAGCTGGTCTCCACGTCATTCTCTGGCTTTGTGTCCTATTTTCTGTCCATAAAACCATAGAATAATGAGGTCGAATGAAATACTGGGCTTATGTGGAGACAGATTTTACGGAATCTTCTTGCTTGATAGTGGGATGAAGGGATTTTGATTAATCCTAGTGGACAGTTATAATGGAAATTGGACATCTGGTCCCACCGAGTTTTAAATTGTCGAGTGCGAAGTAATGAAAGCGCCTATGCATGCATGCAGAAATTGCACAGCAGGTAAGCACTAGGAATTTGTGTTTCAAACATTTCTATTAATCACCTCCAAAGTGATCCATGTAGGTGAGTTGCATAAAAGTAAAAAAACCTATGTGCCAACGCAGCTGCCCCCTGGCATCTCACACATCATCGGCATCCCTGGAATCTT